TCATGAAGAGGTGTGAGGAGCCAGCTTGTCCCAGAAGATTGATTTTGGACACTGAGTCCAAGAAGTCATGGCTGGACTTGCTGGGCCCTTTTAGACTTGCCTGTATTTCAGGATTGGCCTCTGCCATAAACACTGTGGCATTTTAATTGTTTGAGAGGCAGACTGTTAGGGGCACAATTAAGTTCACACTGCTCTGCCACCACTTGTCAGTTGCTGGGTCACAACCAGCAACTCCTACAAAAGGTCCCACACCTTCCACTCTCCTTTCCTGCCTCTCCCCAAGCCCTTCCCCAGAACTGAATTAGAGCTCTGTAGTTTTGGTTTATGCCTCATTTTCCATAATTTTTGCACTCATTTTCTCCAGGGTTCTCCACTGAGGCTGACTACCAGATGCACAGATGTGTGAAAAAGATGCAAGAAGAAAATTTACACGTAACATATTCCATGGGCTAAGCAGGAACTAACAGACATTAGAAAACTCAAACTTAACAGACGTTGGGAATGAGTGTTGAATTTTTTCTCATGCTGGCATTTGCCTTTGCCTAACGCTAGGATCAGTTTATTTGTGGGGATCACTAAGGCAAGTTACATAAGTGTTGGCATTTCAGTGTGTGTGTGTTTGGTACCAGAGGGCTGTGCTAGCATCCAGAGGGACCTCTGTAGGCTGGGGAATAGGCTGACACATCCCTCATCAGGTTCAACAGAGGGAAATACAAAGTCCTGCCCTGGGAGGAACAAGCCCAGACACCAGTAAGGGCTGGGGGCTGACCATCTGAAAAGGAGCTCTGCAGAGAAAGACCTGCAGGCTTTCAACTCACTGCATTGAAAGGCAACGAGTTGATCATGAAATGCATCCTCGTGACAAAGAAGGCTAAAAGCCTGCTGCAGTGCTTTAGGAGGCTGGTCAAACATGGATGCAGGTTGCCCACAGAGGCCGTGGAGTCTCTGTCTTCAGAGATTTTCAAGACTGGAAGTGGCTGTGAGCAGCCTCCTCCAGCTGACTGTGCTTTGAGCTGGGGATGGACCAGGTGATCCCCAGAGGGGCCTTCCAGCCTCTGCCATGGTGTAAGTCTGTGATTATTACTAAGCCATAGCAATGATGTTGGTGCAGCTACAAGTGTGCTCCTGCAGATGAGTTTATGATGACATTCATAAAACACCCAGCATGGGAAGAAAGCATGATTGCATGTCAGGTCAGGATTTAGTTCAAGAGTTTTCTGGAAGCAATGGCACAGGGCAAAAAGTGTGACAAGGGTATTACTGCTTCAAGTCATGCCTTGAGTGGATTTCTGCCTGCCTGGATACCACTGATCACTGCACATGACACCTGTAGCAGCGTGATGAGCATCACATTTTGGTGGGACTGAAAGTAGTTCAATTCTGTAGAAGGGGTAATTCAGGACTGACTTATCTGAGGTGGAGCAGGGGCCTGGAAATGGCACTTCTGGAGGAGGACTGCAGGACTACAGAGGACCAGCTGCCCCAGCAGATTTTGCAGTTTCCACTGTGGCAAAAGGCTAATGCTAATCTAAACTAAATCTCCACCTTTTAGACCTATCCAGTTCCCATTTAGTGCCCCTGTGGATGGCACTAAATCAATCAGGGCTATAAAGATAAATCAAATGTTTTCTTTGTGCCCTTCCTTTGCTTAAACATGTTTGGATGACAAATGAAGAGAAGGTGAAGTTGTCTCAGGACACTGGACAAACAGGCTCATCTTGGAAGATGGCATACAAATTTTTTAGAAGTTCTGACAAAATTGAGGTACCTGGAGAAAAGGGACACACAAGACAGTTGAGTACAGGAGCAAATCCTTTACTGCAAGTGTCTTCAGGCTCGATAAATTTGGCACAACTTAACAAGGAAAACAACCTGAAAACAGCTTTCTTATAGCCTGTGAATTCCTGCCCAGGGAGAAAATCCAGGGCTGTGAAGAGTTATTTAATCCCGTTGAATAACAGGAATGGAAGGCTAGAAACCAAAGGCAGACAAATTCAAACAGAGAAAGAAGCCTGAGGGGAAAGGCAGTGGCAGGACTTCTCACCATTCCCCCACTGAAGCCAGGGGTCTCCTGGGCTTCTCCTCTGGGCAAGTGAGGTGAGCACGGATGGAGAAGAAAGGCACCTGGCCAACAACTCGGTATGAGTGCCGGGTCTAGAAGTGTCTCGGGCAGGTTTGTCCCTCACCTGTGGCCTTACCTCCTCGCTGCCTCCTCCCGCAGAGACTAACCTCCCCTGCCACCAGAGAAGGTCACCGAACATCCCACCAGAGAAGGTCACCGAGCATCCCACCAGAGAAGGTCACCGAACATCCCACCAGAGAAGGTCACCGAGCATCCCACCAGAGAAGGTCACCGAACATCCCACCAGAGAAGGTCACCGAGCATCCCCCTGGACGGCCCAAAGCGAGGAGGTGAAGCCTGAGAGGGCGCGGGGACGCTGGCGGAGGCTCACAGCCATCGGTGGGGTGGGACGCGCGACTCCAGCTGGCAGCTCCCCCGGGCACGGGGCCGTGCCCTGCTGCGGCTCAGCTCACAGACCTGCGGCTCGACCTCCGGGTCGGACCCGGACCCTGTCCCGTGGGCCCAGCGTGGGTCTGCCCCACGCCTTGGCCCCGTGGTACCACTGTGCCCTGACAAGCGCAGAGGGGCACAGCTCTCCTCACCCTGCTCCCTGGCACTTCTTCAAAAGCCTCGTCTGCAGAGCAATAACCTCTGTCGTTAATGAATTTGCTTTTATACTGACTGCAGACAGCTAACTTAATGGCTGGGCTGGGTGAGCTGGATATTTTGGTAGGTCCTACAGGAACCTTGGGCAGCATGGGTGCTTTGACTGTACAACCCTTCATCAATTAAGAATATTTCTGTACTGTGTTTTTACACATGGATCTACTCTCATATGCATCTGGCAATTAGTTTACTCCCAAGAATGTGAAGTAATTTTTGGCCTCTAAACTGTAGGCATGAGTGTCTGTTTTTTAACTCTTTGCTGCCACTGGGGATGCTACATGAGCCTCTGAAAGGCAAGAAACAGTTCCCCCTTTGCTCTAGCAATAGCTACAGAGATAAGGTTCTGGGACCTATGGAAGTGCGTGGCTTACTTGCTACTATTGGAAAGGCTTTTTCATTGTCATGAATTTCAGGCCTTAAGAAATCACGTTAATGCAAGCCTTTTTCTATTTTACAGTAGGCAGGACAGGATTCTGGACAAACGATAGGCAGGTTTGGCTTTTCTCTTACTGGTGATGTTAGCAGTCATATCTATTTTCTATTATGTTTTTAATATATTTTCTCAGTAAAAGAACGTTTTATTTCCACAGTCTTTGTTTCTATTAACTTCGGCTGAAGGACCAGCACCTTAAGTGTCCCTAAAAATGCTTTATTATGGTTTTATGTGTTGAAATCCAAAAAAGTTCTACTAGAATGAGATAAATGTTTGACATGAAGTTGGATCAGCATTTATTAGTTTAAATCCCATGATCTGATTCTCCCAGCACAGGTAGTTCTTCTGTTGCAGAGAAGGATAAGATTTAACCAGGTAATATGCACAAGAATTTTTGGCAGCAGAAAGAATACCACCAATCCTTGCATGTTTGAGATCCCATATGTCCATGTATTCAGACAGACAGCTGGATAATTTTCCTATGTGTGAGGAGATCAGAGCAAAAGAGATGAAATGCTGGTGAGTAGATGGTTTGGATGTCAGTTTTATGTTCCTCTTGCAGTCTTTAAAACAATGCTGCAAAGAGAACCTGAAGATGAAATGGTTTCAGTGGAGCTGATTTGTAGCATAAAAAAAGAGGATCATTATTTCTGTTATCATTCACATTAGGCACAAGATAAAACCAGTGATTTGATTCTGAAGTATGAGCTTTTGGAGTAATAAATGTTCCTGTTCCTGATGATCATTGCTGCACATCATGTGTTGTAAGTGACTGAGTATGGCATTTTCTCTGTTCTTCTGTTTCCCAAAATGGGATAACTCACTGCAACTGTCTTGTCACCAAATATCTGCCTGTAATGTAAAACAGAAATCATGAAAAAAGGAAAATAACCCATCTTTTCAGCACAAGACCAGAGATCAGAGATGTATCTGTCTGTGACTGTTTCCCTTATCCTTGTAAGTAACCTCCAGTCTGAGAGAGATGCTGCAGAGGAGAATCTAGCATGTGGATGAGAACAGAGATCTTCAAATTATTAGTCCTATGCACAGAAACATGGGGGGAGAGACAAAAAGGAGGGGAGACAAACACACTTATTTTCTGCAAACCACCCTCCAACTCTGTTTCTCCAGTTTCATCATTCTCAACAGTACCTGAAAGGCCATCTGAAAGGTCATGCCATCCTGATAGGGTGGTATTTGGTACCCTCTTTAAACTTAGATGCATGATGAGGTGCCAGGCTCTGGAAAGTCATGCTCTCTTAGTGTTTTATATGGCCTGCATCCTTTGCTTTCTCTATCTCCTCACATGCACTAATAATGACTTCTGGTCACATCACAGCTTAGAAAAGCATGTTGCAGCCCATCAGGGTTTCATCCCTAAGGTATTCAGCCATGCTTGAGTGGCAGCTGGAAGTGTCTGCTACATCTGATTAGGCTACATGGGACTTCACTCTCAACTGGGACAAGATGATAAAGGGTAAAACCCAGTAACCTTCATCTCTGTTAACTGCAAGGTTTGGTTTGACACCAACACCATTACAGGACTCTTATACCAAAGCTCTAATGGTGATGCCAAATCCTTACCTTTACAGTCTAAAGTTTTTGAGGGTTAATCTTCTGAAGCTGCATCTTGTTTGGGGATCATCACTACCTCCACAGTCCTCGCACTGGGGCTTTTTCTCAGACTGAGAGGAGCACTGGGATTGCCTGCTCTGAGTCCTTCAAGCAGCAGCAGAAAGAGCACAAGAGCAGCTTTTAGCTATCTTTTGCTGATGTCCTGATCTGAACTGTTTGAAAGTAATTGACATTAGTTTTTTCTTGTCTCTTCTTGTTTCCAAGCTCAGACTGAAAAGTGGAGAACAAACCTCTGACCTCCTTGCAGAAGACCAGGAAGGGAGCAGTGTCCCTGAGTGTGACAGCAGACACAAATGCTGGTGCACTTCTGGAAGGCAATCGCAGCAGAGTTTTGTAGGTGAAGGTTTTGTGATCCAAATAATCTCTGAGTCTGGCAGGACCTTCACAAGGATTGTAGGTCAGACTAAGCAAGGCTGGATTGTGGAGCTGGTCGGCAGACTTGTGAGCACAGCCTTGGATTCCCACGGAATAAATTACTTCCCTGCTGGCAGGAGCCCTTCCACTGTGCAAGGGCATCAGGACACCCACGGCTTGGGTGCAAGAGGTGGGAAAAGAGCAGAAACCTGCTTCCTGGGTTTAATGCTGTTAACACTGTTGCATCTGTGTTCTCAGCAAGAGCAGGCTCCGTGCGCTCAACAGATAGGGCTGCTGTGCAGCACGCACCCTTGCCTGCCACTTGTGGGCTGGTTGCTTGGACTGGTGTGTAAGAAGTGCTCAGTAACTCCTCCATGGATGGACATGCAGGTCTGGTAACTGGAGCCTGCATCAGCGTACCAGAAGAGCTCCACAGCCCTCAGTTCTCACTATGTCCCCTGGACACTAAGGCTTCGACTCCAGAAAACACCACTGACAGTAGAAGGCTCCTCTAGGAATGCTGCCAGGCACGCAGGGCAGATCCAAGTTTTCAAGACCAGCTGCAGCTGATGGCAGAGTCAAGAAAGTGGCCATGGGCCCAGTGCCCTTGCAGCTCTTCTTCTGTGTGGGGTGCAGGAGGGAGGGCAGTGTCTGGGGGACCACCCCTGATCACCAGCTTCAGCACGGAGATACGGCTTTTCTCCTCATTTGTGTGCTGCCCACCACATGTCACCTTGTCCTTGCCTGACCCCCTGGCGAGTGTCTAGGGGGCCTTCCCAGCCTTTTTGTGCAGTGCAAACCATCAACAGGCCGCTGCTCCCCCCCACCCCCCCCAGGGAATTTCCATTCCTTCATGGGATCCCTTCATGAGGCCATGGGAGTGGTGCAGCTCAGCCTTCAGGGCGACACACAAACATTTTTCACTGTGGCTGAGAAAAGACCTCCTAGAGCGGGGCAATGAGACCCACACATGGGAGGGATGGCTGCTCAAACATGCCTGGTCTTCTAAAGAGGGCTGGGACAGTGGATCGCTCCCCTGCTTGTCATCAGGGACTCTCTGGAGGGGGGGGAAGTGATGCATGCAGCTGCAGGTTTTGCACTGCTAGCATCTGTGTAAATTTTATGAATTCATGTCATGACTCCTACATGTTATCCGAATCCAATGTGGGAATATGAGCTAAAGCTGGAGTAATCACCTGGGGTTCAACACTAGCGTTGTTATGAAAAATAAGTATGTGGTTCAAAAGCTGATCTCTGTAATAAATTGTTTCCTACTTTTCAGGAATGTGAAATCGTTAGTAAATGGACTCAGTATGTCCACCAGGCTGAAAAATAATCCAGGACTCTGTCTTAATTGTACTAAATCATTAAATACCAGTCACACCCCCTCTGTTGTGGTTGTTGTTTTGTCAATAGTCTGTCAGGCTTTTACCTTGGTAGTGATCCAGTGTCACAGTTGTGTGTCCACAGTTTAGAGGCAGAGATTGCAGCCATGAAAACGTAAGTTGCAAACCGTTAGGTCTCTTAGTTATTTGTGTTTCATATACTGCAAGTTCTTATGTTCTGCTGGTTTTGTAAATGGTTGGACAAGAAAGTGCACCTTAATGCATGGAAAGTGCACCGTGACTTATGTTCTCTGTCCTCATCCTCTTGAAAGGGACAGTGGGCTCCTCTGGCAGCACAGCAGAAGGGACATCACGGTGCCAGACCTGGGGGAGTGCCGGGGTCAGTGGCAGCACCCTGCACACGCTGTGGTGCCGTACCAAGTGCATCTGGTGCCCGGCTCCCCACGAAGCAGGGATGCCTGTGCAGGGCTTGCAGAGCTCCAGCTCACGGCCCAAGGCGGGCTGAAGCCCTGACCCATCTTTTGTGCAGGGCTGCCTCCATGGGACCAGACCCATGGGGCTGGGCACTGCGAGGAAGGGAAGGGCTGAACCCGCAGACCAAGTGGCTCCTCACGGACGTGGCTTTAACTTGAGTCAAGGGTGCCTTCTGCCCCTTGTTGACACACACAGGTCAAAGGGTCACCCTGTCCCAGGGGCAGTGGGAAAGGCAAGAACAAGAAGACTGAGCATAAATGCATCCTCTGGAGGTCTTTGGAAGAGGGTATGGGCGTTCACCCTGCAGTCCACAGTGGTTTCTTGGGGTCCCTGGGAACATAGCACTGTGGGTTTGGGGATCCTACATTTTTCCCGTGCATGCACAAATAGCAGGGTGAATAACTACAAAAAGGAAAACATGCCTGTGTAGAATACGAAGTTTTGGGAAAGTGTGTTCCTAATCCACGTGTGTGAGAACTTCCATGGATACAAGGTAGTGCTGCATGCTTTGTTTTGTCGACCAACCAAAATGAAAAAAAAACCTACATAGTTTTTTGATTCTTTTATTCACTTTGGAGCACTTCTGACACAGGAAACTTCTGTTGCTCATTGAACAGTTATGCCAGATTTGAAAACCAATCACACCTGTGTCTACAGGGTCCATGTTACCTTAGACCAGCTGTGATCCACACAGATACATTTAGGAACCCTCCCAGAAAAACTGTGAAGTTGGTGCTGTAAATATTTATGATTATGAACAGTTTTGCGGACTTTTATGGGAGTGGACTTGATAGTAAGGCACACCAGGTAACAAGTGATTGCAGAACTGTGAACATTCTCTCTGCTCTATAGAAAACTACATTTCTAGAGAGGATCAAAAACCTCATCTATTTTTGCAAAAAATAAGGAAAAAATTATTTAAAGGAGCTGAAAACAGTTTTGTTTAAGGCAGCCAAAGCAAAGAGATTTAAGGTTGTTTTGGGTAAGTTTTACAAGAAATATTGTTCCTGTAGTCTTACGGAAACCATTATCAAAATCATGAAAAGCCCATTTGCTTCAGAAAAACAGAAACAGCCCTTGTCTAGTAGCTTGCTGAGGTTACAACCCTTTCAGCACCGGTGTTCTTGGAGCTCTTGGACTAAATCCAGCATCAGTTGGGGCTTTCAACCCAACCTACAATTCAAAGTGAAAGCTCAGCATTGGGATGTGTGCGAGCAGGAGCAAATCTGGGGGACCAAAGCCTGGCTCACGGAAATGTACGGTGATGATTACCTGTTCAAGGAACCGTTCTGCAGCTGTCAGATAAATTCCCGTACTAGCCAAACACTGTCTGTCAGTGCTATTTGCTGGGTTAAATTTCACTTCTGTTGCAATTATAGTACTGTCAGTGGAGTGACTGAAGTTTTTAATTTGGCCTCTTTTATTTATTCTTCATGCTTTTCCCCTCAGTTTGCACTTAGGTTTTTCTAACATCTATTTTTTTCCCTGCTTCCCTCTGGCATACATTTGTTAGTCAGGAAGCAACAGGCCCGTTGTTATGAGAAAAATTTGCCTGTCACCCACGAGTGCTGTACGAAGTATGTTTATACAGCATTCTGGAATTTAGGCAGCAGTTTGGGAAATGTGTAGGCATTCAGATGATCATTTTTCTATGATTGCATATATGGTGCTGTCCTTGTATTTTAGGTGCAAGACATGTGTAACAGATAAAGTTTAATTTCTGTTATTCTTAACTGTTATTCTTAACTGTAAATGCCACTAGCTGGAGCTTCAGCTGGTGATAGATGCCGGCATCCTGCTCTGGCTCTGCTCTCTATAAGAGAGACCTGGACTGCCAAGGATGCACAGTGAGCTTTGTAGCTCCTGGGTGACAGAGCCAGTGACACTGGCCACCTGGCAAGGCTTGGTGGGTCAAATGTAAGAAGGGCCCCTAGTGTAAGAAAGGCATGGACCTGCTTGAGCAGGTCCAAAGGAGGGCCACGAATCTCATCAGGGGGCTGGAGCACCTCCCCTGTGATGACAGGCTGAGAGTTGGGGTTGTTCAATCTGGAGAAGAGAAGGCTCCGGGAAGACCTTAGCACGGCCTTCCAGTGCTTAAAGGGGGCCTGCAGGAAAGATGGGGAGGGACTCTTCACCAGGGAGTGTAGCGATAGGATGAGGGGTAATGGTTTTAAACTGAAAGAGGGCAGATTTAGAATAAGTATGAGGAAGAAATTCTTCCCTGTGCGGGTGGTGAGACGCTGGCCCAGGGTGCCCAGAGCAGCTGTGGCTGCCCCCTCCCTGGAAGGGTTCCAGGCCAGGCTGGACGGGGCTGGGAGCAACCTGGGCTGGGGGAAGGGGTCCCTGCCCCTGGCAGGGGGGTTGGAACTAGGTGATCTTTAACATCCCTTCCAATAGAATCTATGATTCTATGAAACCCTGAATTCATTGACATGGCACTCTTCTCCACTACTATGCTGTAAACCAAATGGTGGATGCTCGTTATTTCAGGTTTATCAGTCTCATAAGGGCTGGTGCAGGGACAGAAAGGGCAGGACTGTGCTCCTGTGGCTGCTGACACGCCAGCAGGATGGCAGCATGGGTCTTCATCCCATCTCAGCAAAGGACATTGTCTCTCCAGCACACCAGCCAGCTTGTTCAAATATACATTGTTTTTGCTCTGTTCTGCCAGAGATGTAATCACTTGCCAATTGAAAAATGTTTTATTGCCGCTTATTTCTGCCTCTGTTTTCCTAACGTGCAGCACATCATGGAACCACAGTGTGTCAGGAGGGGGCAAATCTCAGAAAAAGACATTTGGAGATGAGTGCTTTTGTACCTGCTGACCACTTACACCTACCTTTTTCCTTATGGACTGCAGTGTAGGCATATGCAGCTCAAAATAGCCAGAGCAGTTAGGAGTAAAGGCACTAGCTGGTTTTATTTTAATCTGCTTTCTTTAGGTTTTTACAATATACCCAATTCTTGAACCCTTCTCAATTTAAAAGAACATCAAGCTTTACATCTATCTTACCTAGCTATTTACCTGCCTCTCTGCCTTTATCCAGGAGAAAAGTTTATTTACTTTAAAAACAAAAGAAAGTAACTTCTGTGGGACTTGCTACCTGTCAGAATATCAGGAGGCTTGGTGAAGATTCCTCATCTACAGCATTATTCTTGCTATTAGACTTTTACTACAGTGCACTGCATAGACAAGGCAGCCTCTTTAGACCATATGGCCCAAACTATCAGGATTTATTAATTCGATTTGTTGTTTCCAAGAGCTTCCCTAATTTATGTGCTTGAATCTTTTTACATATTTTTTTGCAAGACCCCTCTAAACACTTGTTCACATCATCCTTCCAAGGAGCAGCAAAGGGTTTGGCACTCAGATGCCAGACCTCTGTAACAGTTTAGATGGTCATCTCACATTAGTAACATCAATGAAGGCAAAGCTAATGATCACAGGGAAGAAACTGCTGTTTTCCATTTTATGATTTCTCCTGGTGTTAAACTTCATTTGTTCAGCAGACTTTGAACAGACAGTACTTTTTCATACTTCTGAGAAAAGCGTTTGTTGACATCCAGTACCTGAGAAATGTGCAGTAGTTGATGACCTTCCTGAAAAGGTTATTACAAAAGAAGAGTCTTCTTAAGAAGTCAACATTTGACAAAGAGTCCTCCAAATCAGTTTCTGTTCATAAATATTTCCTGACTAGAAATCAACTTAGGTTTTACTCCCGAAAAACTCTAAAAGCATGTGGTTGACACAAAGTTTTTTGCAGTCCTGATTAACCATATTCCTTGAATCAAGGCCTAAAATGATGAAGGCCAGACCAAATTACAAGAAACAGTTCAGTTGCCATAAATTACTTTGAAATGTTATAGCAGCTTCAGAGAGGGGCAGCTTAGTAGGAGGTTTGTCTGTAGCTTGAAGTGAGCAGTTATATACGAAGAGCATAAACATTGTTTATTTTTAACTGACATCCTACTTTTCTTCAAACTGGCTGTGAGAAGAAACCTGTCTGGAAAGAGGCAACACTGATGCCATTTGGAACAAGGTACATTGCTCTCTTCCTGACTATGATTCAGACGTTAGGTCTGTAGAAAAAAATCTGCTTTTTTTTTTTTCTTTTTTTTCATTTAGTGATGAAAAACAAACCACTGAAAAGGGAAATAGTAGAAACAGAAACATTTCCTCTATGGGTAAAAAGAGAAAAAAATGAGTTAAGAAAAAAGCAAGGACTCCCTGACCCCATATTTTCCATAGTATACTACTGCAGGAATTAAAATGAATGCTAGCAGATGGGGAGTGGAAAAGTTTGCTGCTGCTAACACTGAGGTGATACTGCTCTATGTAACTGTGAAAGCAAGGACTGTTCCCATTTTGCTCTGTGTGTTTGTTTTGCCTACATTTTCCAGACTCATCTCCCAGGCATCTGCACATGCTTAGTCACTGATAAATGAAAAAACCTAGGAAATACACTTTCTTTGCTCTTCTGTCTCTCCATTTGGTACGTGTTCATTGCAACAGATA